TAAATAAATAGCCTTATTTCTATCTATATCCAGATCCACATGTCTTTCCATGTTTTAAAAACTTAATAATGTCAACAAGATTTATTTATTTAACTTTATGTGTATGGAGTGCTTGTATGAATTGCATGCCACGGGGCCATTCTCAGTTCTTGACAGGAGTTTCCCAAGATGCCTCTGCTGAAGGCAGGTTCCCGAGGCATCTTCGAGGTGCTCCCAACACTTCAGCATGGTCTTCCCTTGCTCTTACAAGTGGCTCCCACTCTGCCTTTTCACAGCCCACAGAAGGGTGCAGTCACAGCCTTTGGGACTGTGCAGTCCCATGAAGAATCTTCCTTGCACAAGGGCCTAACACAGCACACAGCACATAGAAAAATGAGTGCATGGGAGCCACATGGCAGAATTCACAGGGCCAGCATAACACAGTATCCCGGAGAAGCCAGGCTGCACGGAAGCAAAGAACAGCCATGTGCTGGGAAACTGACATGGTGTCTTTCTCTGCCTTGTGCCTGCTGCTGACTGTAAAACCTGCATTTCCAGGATTCCTGGTTACTTTCTCCTACATTTTCAAGGGCATTAAAATTTCTTTAACTTATACATGTGTGCATGAGGACCACAGCACACATGTGGAGGTCAGAAGACAGGCTTTGTGAGTTGGTTCTGGATCAAACTTGGGTCTTTAGGCTTCACCACAAGCGTCTTTATCCACAGGCCCATCTCACCGCTCCAGTCCCCTCCCCCGAGGCATTTTAAAAGTCCCCTTTACACCTTGCACAAGGCAAGAATCTAATTTCACTTTATAATTTTAAAGTATCACGTTTTACTTTTAATTTTTGCATCTCTGCATGTGTATGTCACATATGTGGAGATGCCTATGGAGTCCAGGAGAGGGTGACAGAGTCCCCTGGAACTGGGGTCACAGGTAGTTGTGAGCCACCCAACAGGTGTGCTTAGAACCAAACTCTTGGTCCTCTGGAAGAGCAGCAAGCACTCTTAACCACTAGCTACCTGTCCATCCCCCCACCCCATTTCACTTTTTCTTGATGGAAGCTGTCACCAATGTCTAATTCTAAAACATTAGTCTCCATCCTCAGGAAAAAAACAGCACAAATGAAGAAATCTACCTCAAAATTCCATGAAAATAATAACTTTGGTTCTGATATTTGAATTAACTCACTCAGCAAATGTGTCCTGAACTGAAATAACAGACCATTCCCTGTTGCAAAATGGTAGTGCAGACATATTTGTGTTAGTGTGTGCATGTGTGTGTACCCAAGTGTGCATGTGTGTACCTCCCTGCTTCACCCACTCTACATTGCAGGTGGGGCAGAAACTGGAACAAGTCAACACAAACAAGCTGGACCCCCAGAGCTAACCTTGAGCTCTCATAAAGGGCTCTCAGGGCACAGAAGATCCTAGTGGCATGACAGACATTGTGGGGTGTTACAGTGATTTGTCAAGTAGAAGGTTTGAGTGACTGAGTGTTTAGGCTGTTACAGGAGCTGTCCTTTTTCTCTTTTAGGAGGGAAGCTGCAGATACCCTGAACAGAGGCCCCATGACCTGCTGTGGCTTAAATGTCACTCTAGCTACTGTTTGGAAGCAGTGGGTAGGGAATCAGGAGTGACAGGCCCTGAGGGTGATGCCGCTAGGCAAAGGAAAGAGTGTAGGGAGGAGCAGATCCCTGCTGCAGTCAAGGACAGTCAGTCAGTGCTTCAAGGTGAACTTGGAGAAGCCTGCACTGGATGGGAAGACGGCCGGAAAGCTGCCGGGCCTGAGTGTGGGAAGGGACCCGGCATTTCAGCTTACTACAGACTGTCCAGTTTCAGATGACAGTTAGAAATGGTTGGTGACTCTCCAGCCCTCCTGCAGAGTCCAATGAGATCGTGCAAAATTATGAGGAGAGTCCCTTCCTGTGTTGATTGCTTTTGACTGACTGGGCAACTTTCAACCCTATTGGTGCAAAGGGATCTTCTGGACTCTGCCTCCCGGACGAGTAGAAACCCAGAAAGTTCAATGCCACATGTCTGCCAAATTGCTTCTTGATATTCACCCTCTCAAATGGCACCTGGTCCCGTTTGTACAGTTTCTTGCATCCTCTGTTAACTCTGGAGTTAAATTAAATCTTCAGCTCAAGTCCTCTGCCTCATCTGGGAATCATAATTTGACCAGTTAATTGCCAATGCCCAGTGGTGATGCTAGGCGGCCAGCTAGCTATGTGAACACGAACTGGTTTGACAAGCAGGGGCTTTGAGGGGAGAGATGTGGCCTGCAGGGAATACTCCCAGCCAGAAGACTGACGACTGCATGGGGCAGGGCTGTGCTCTCTGCATCACCTTCTAGAGTTTCCACAGCTACTCGTGAGACTGCACACATCTGTGATGGGCACCTTCCATTTTACAGAGGAAAGCGAGAGAGGCTGGAAGAGACTGTGGGATTGAATCCAGTCGGTTGGCAGGGAACCTCATGTTATACCAGGACCTCTCTGTTTGGAGCTTTGCTGATGCCAGCAGACCTCTTCCACCATGGCTGTGGTGGAGAGAGAGGGATCAGGGCAGACCCAGGACACTTTGATGCACAGAGCAGCCCCACAGCAAGACAAACCAAGATTTTGTTTGTGTCAAGGCTGATAAATTCTGGTCTAGCCTGTGACATGGCCACCTCCAGGCAAGTGGCCTCTTCTTCCATACACCTTCACGATTCTTCTCAGGCCCACAGGTGTTTTCATGTTTATAAGGCTTTGCCTGATGTCTGTTTCGCCCTCCACACTGTAGGCTCCATGCTCACTCACTACTAAATTCTTAGTGCCAGGTTGGATGCCAGGCAAATACTGTGTGCTCACACTGAGACTGCATTGTGATACATCTGTGTGTTGCTTAGAGAAACCTCTAGCAGGGCTAGAGAGAGGCTAAGAGTGCCTGCTGAGCTTGGAGAGGACCTCAGTTTGGTTTCCAGCACCCACATGGTAGTTTGCGACCACCTGTAACTCCAAACTCAGGGGATCTGACTCCCTCTTCTGGCTTCTGCAGGCACTGCATGCCTGCGCACATATGTCTGTGCAGGCAAAAAACACTCATATGCGTGAAATAAAAGCAAATAAAAGAAAAAAGAAAATCTTGAGGAAGTGTGACAAGAGAATGAGTAGGTGGAGGGCACCTGCATGTTACAGATTTGTGTTGCTTGTGAAGCGTGTTGTTGCACTTAGCTTAAGAAATTAGAGCAAACAGAAGCCTTCAGACTTCAAGTCTTGACTGCAGCTAATTTTTCATTGTCCTTGAAGCTAATCAAGCCTGTGGAAACAGCATCACCAAATTGACTAAATGAGACTCCCAATTAACTCAAACAGATGGCTGAAATTTTCCAGGTGATTTTCCATATTAATTCAGCATGTTGGCTGGACCAGGCCCCTGGAGGCTTGGCAGGGATTGGCTGAGAAGGAAATGATGACATAGAGGGATCTTCAGGAGAGATGCAGACACAATAACCTGAGATGTTTTATCTCAGCAAAATTATTATCGTCCAAATTGACTAGTCTTCCTCAACCAGTACACACAAAGTGGGGACTGCCCAGTGATGGGCCTCCAGAGTCCTGTCCTAGGAAGCTGTGTGAGCTCAGGTTTATGAGAAGTCAGTGTGTGTGTGTGTGTGTGTGTGTGTGTGTGTGTGTGTGTGTGGCACCCTAATCTTGTCTGGTAAGGGATAAGACCAGTGTAGGGCAAGAAGAGAAAGGAAGAAGAGGCTAGCCCTTTACAGAGCACTGGCATTCCAAGCCTGGTCTTGCCCTGTGTCCTCCCAGGGGCACCATGACATCAGGTTCCACTGAAGAAAGGGGTTGAAGATGCTCAGTGGAATTCTGCAGGGGAGGAATGCCAAGGCCCTCTCTGAAGAGCAATGTCTTCATCCCTTCCCCAGGTGTCCCGGGCCCTGCACAATTCCCCTGGGTTCCACCATCTTCCCTTCTGCCCCAGTCCACTGATGTCGAATGAGTGTCCCTACTTGGTGACTCTCCATGGGAGTGAAGACAACTACATTAGGGGAAAGAGGGATGGCATGTCAGGGAGAGGAGAATGGAGGGCGAGCATGTGGTGGAGAACCCTCCCCAGGGCAGTGAGAGCAGCTGGGCCAAGCACTTGCCCTTCAAGAAGCTGCCAGAAATTTCCAATAATGAGGAGATTTGTAAGTGACTGAAACATGAAGACCCAGGCTAGCTATAAGGCAAAAATTGACCCGGGCACCCCCGAGTCTCCAGATCGGGTGCTCTCAGCTCAAACGGCCCCGTTAGTAGATATGCAGAGTCTTAGATGTGGGGGTTCTGGGATACTGTACTCCCCCTACCCCTGCTCTCACACTGTTCTCATCAGAGAGGAATGTTGACTACAGACCTGGACTCTAGATGGTATCAGTCTCCAGAGCAAAGCTGACATTCAAATCATGCCACTTAGATGGAGCCCATTTTTCTGATTTAACCAGAAAGTCTATACAAAATAGATGTTGGTAATGACGGGCCAACACGATTTTCCACATGCCCTTTGAAGCACATGGCTGCCACCCACTGGGGAGGTCTGGCCTTCTTAGAGTAGGGCACATCAGGCAATTACAGGAGCTGCCCAGCTAGAGGTCGTCTAAAATCCTGAAATTGGGATGCTGCTCACTGAACTCTGCTTCCAGGATGTTCTTGCACCAGGTCATCCAGAGGATGTCATCTGTCTGCTGTGTGAATGACCCTGCTGAGACAGGGCCTGACCTGACACGCTTTTCCAGAGGACCCTCCCTCCCATGGGGCAGATCATCTGCCACGATATAAGGTAAGGAAGGAATAAAAGTGTATACTGCCTGGTGTTCCCATCCATCCTCCCTAGGAAAATAAACCACACATCAGCAAAGAAGGCTGGAAGAACAAAGTGCTTGGATACTAGCCAGTTCTACAAGAGAGTACATTCTAGAAATGCTACATTAATGGCTTCCCTTTGGATCTGTTCCTAACCCAATGGCTCAAGAAACCAACCTCATTCGAGGGTCATCGGGTGGTATCATCTCCAGGTCGTGGGTTGGTCCACTCAAGCCGATGACATGGAGGGAGATGCTGGGGTTTTCACTGCCGGCCTGCGAAGTGAGGGGGGCAGAGCTGTGAGGGAGCAGCGTGAGTGAGTGGCAGTAACGCCTGGAGCCCCCTTGGCTTTGCAGCATCTTACCTGGAAGACTCATATCTGGAGCCCCCTTGGCTTTGCAGCATCTTACCTGGAAGGCTCATATCGGGAGCTGCCCTTGGCTTTGCAACATCTTACCTGGAAGACTCGTATCTGGGCACTGTGGAACTTGATACTGAAGACCATAACTTACGTTGAGGACAGATCAGTGTGTGTACACACATGTGTGTGCCCATATATGTGTGTTTGCATGTGTTTGGAGGCCAGAGGACCACACTGGGTGTTGTGCATCCTTAGATACTATCCACTTTCTTTTCTTCAGACAGCATCTCTCACTGGTCTGGAGCCCACCAAAGCTAGCTTCATATGACACTAACCTCAATCACAAGGGCTTGTCACCCATGGCCTGATCACCTCTCAAGGGCCCCACCATATGAATACTGGGTAACACAAGCTCTCAGACCCATGACTATGGACAACATAGCCTCTGCACAGCCCAGGAACCCAGGACAGAGAGAATACTTCTAACCTTCTAGAAGCTGCCTCCTATAAGGAGCCAGAGTGCAGGCTTTTTGTCACCTGGAGTCACTGAGTGGGGGCGATGTATTAATTTTGCTTATGAGGAACTTAGACAAACAGTCGATCATTCAATTATTTAAAATAAAGTAAACATGCCAACAAATTCACCTCAACAAAAATGGGACTTTAATGCCACATGAGTGTTTACAGTGCTGCTGGCAAAGACGTCTGATTATGGGACCTCTACACTTGGAACCAGTGGTGGAACGAGCTCATGAATGACTTGGGTTTGATTGACCCACTCACTCTCTGCCTACCTTAGGATAGTGGTAAGGCTTCACAGTGGGGTAGACAGAGCCTGTGTAGGTTGGCAGCTCCATAAGGGGAACCCGAG